TACGCATCTCCTCCCCTCCCCACACTGCTCCTGGGCTGTCTATCACTCATATCCCATCAGTCCCAGCTCAGTCACTGCAAGGGAGGGTGGAAAGTGTGGTCTAGTTGTGAGCTCTGGGTGGGGGACAGGGAGCTGACCCTCTGAAGAGTGTCTGCCACACCATGCCCCTCTGAGGTCATCTTGTTCATTCATTTACTGGGCATTGCTTCCCCACACTGAACTGCAAGCTCCCTGAGGACAAAGATCTGTTTCCAGGCCCTCTCACAGTGCCTGGCACATAGTAGGTGTTCAATAAGTATGGGTGAATGCATAGCTAAGGCCCAGGCCCTCTTTTCAAGAAGGGAAATGCGGATTGCAGACTTGGACATGAGTATACTCAGCAGGAGGCAGGTAGGTCAGGCAAAGGCTGGGAAAGATGTACACGCCCAGCATGAGGGAGTTTGGAGGAGGTGTCATGCTAGTCAGGGCATCAGGGAAAGTTATCCACTGCTTCATAACCACTCACCCCAACACTGTGTTGTTGTTAGCTGACATTGAATTGGTCTCCAATTCATGGGGAACCCATGCACAACAGAATGAAATGCTGCCCAGTCCTGCTCCATCCTCATGATCAGTTGTGGACTGGACCATTGTTATCCATAGGGTTTCTATGGGCTGATTTTCAGTAGATTGCCAGGAAGTATATTTTAGCTTGGAAGCTCTGCTGAAACCTGTTCAGCATCATAGCAACACGCAAGCCTCCGTTGACAGACAGGTGGTAGCCACCCATGAGGTGCCTTGGCTAGGAATTGAACCTGGCTCTCCTGCATGAAAGTGAGGATTCTACCTCTAAACCACCACTGGCTCACCCCCAAAACTTAGTGGCTTACAAAAATAATTTGCTCACGATTCTGCAGTTGGGGAAGGGTTTGGCAGTACGCCTTGTCTCTGCTCCACACAGCATCAACGGAGGCTGAAAGATCCATTTCCAACCAGACTCAGTCATGTCTGGTACTGGCTCTTGGTTCCTCTCCACATGGGCTTCTCCATGGAGCTGCTTGGATTTCCTTGCAGCATGGTGGCTGGGTTCTAAGGGTGAGTATACCAAGGGACAAGAAGTAGAAGCTGCAATTTTCCTAAGGTCTGGGCCCAGAAACTGGCATTGCATCATGTCACCATATGCTATTGGTTAAGAAGTCAGACAGCCAAGATTCAAGCAGCTGTGGGTGGGAGGGGCATCAAACAATTCAGGGCCATGCTTTAAAACCATCACAGAAGCTTCCTAAAGGAGGGGAATGAGCAGCCATAAACACTACAGGGTTTGGATAGAGCCAGTAAGCTCTCCAGTATGGCTGGAGCAGCCTTAGTCTACCTCAGGATGGCTGATGCCTTGTTCTGGCTGCCCTGGAGAAGCTCCTAGTCAATGGAAATGGCAGATTATATTCTACAGAACTGGCCAAACAATATTTCTAGTCTCACATGTGCTTCCAGAATGATGCTACTACCCCATCAAGAAGTGGAATCTACTTCCCCTCCTTGTGACAATCTTATAGAAGCCCTGGTGGTGTAGTGGTTAAAACGCTTGGTTGCTAACCAAAAGGTTGGCAGTTCAAAACCACTGGCCACTCCATGGGAATAAGATGTAGCAATCTGCTTCTAGTAAGATTACAGACTTGGAAACCCTATGGGGCATTTCTACTCTGTCCTATAGGGTCACTATGAGTCAGAATCAACTCGACAGCAGTGGTTTGGTTTTTGGATTTTGTGACAGTCTTGACGAATTAATCTGGCAAAAGTGATGCTGTGTGACTTCTGAGGCTGGGTGGTAAATGGTGAAATGGCTTCTACCTGATGTTCTCTCTCTCTCATTTTCTCTCTTTCTAGACATTTGCTCTTGGAACCCAGCCATCATGCTGCAAGGAAGCCCAGGTTACATGAAGAGGCCACCTGTAGGATTCCAGTTGGCAGCCCAAGGCAAGGGCTCAGTGTCAACCACCAGGCCTCTCAGTGAGCAAACTCCAGCCTTTGAGTCTTCCATCGGAGGCCCCAGATATCAGAGGCACTGGTGACACACCATCCCGTGCCCTGTCTGAACTGATCCACACAACCCGTAAGCATAACAAATGGTTGCCCTATGCCTCGAAGTTTTGGATAATTTGCTCCATAGCCGTAGTGACTAGGACAGGGGGCAAAGTGAAATACAGCACTAGGACCTCTAGAAAGCAGTCCTGTGGGCAGGTGGAGTCTGGCAGAGCCTCACCAAGGAGCACTGAAGCTGATGCTGACCCAGGAGCAGCCTGGCCACTGAAGCTCGTGTGTCACCCAGGAGCCGCCTGGCCACTGAAGCTGGTGCTGACCCAGGAGCTGCCTGGTCACTGAAGCTGGTGTCTCACCAGGTGTAAGCTGGAGTGCAGGGAGAGGTGTTTTAACGAGCGTACAGCTTGTGCAAAGTTCCAGGCTAGAAACGGGTCTAGCTGGAGCAAGGCCAGTGTGGCTGGAGCACAGCGTAATGGTGGTGGTGTGGACAGGGAGACAAGGTGGGAAGGGGTGGATGGGGTGGTACAGGGGCCAACCTTCAGTGAGGGCTCAGAGGAGCCTTGGCTGGAACTGCTTCCAGGTGAGTGTGGGCTAATTCAGGATGAGGGACCAGGCACTGGCCAGGCCCAGCAAGTGGGGTCGAGGCTTCCTCTGCAGTGTGGGGTGGGGAAGGGGCCTAGCCAAGCCATGGGAGGGACGGAGGCCGGGGAGGCTATGCATGGACCAGCAGGGCCTGGCTTGGACAGCTGGGTGGCTGCAGGCCAGGGGCGGAAGCTGAAGAGGCAGGAAATTGTTGGAAGGGCGGTGAACTAACTCTACTGCAGAACCTTTGCTGGTGTCCTTCCCCTGGGAGGACCCCTGAGGAGGTGGCATCCACTGCAGCCTGAGGTTTATGCCACTGCTCCACGGTCCCTTGCTCTACCTTGTTAAATATCTTTAATTTCTCTGAGTCTGAGAGACATTGCAGGTTCCTGCTGCCACTTGGCTTCCTGAACCACAGTAGGGATGATGCCCAGGAGCCCTCTGGTGTCCCAGTAGCTGAGGACCTGTGGGCTGTGTGCACCTGGCGGGCTATAACTGATTTACTGGACAGCATTGAGCGCTTACTGAGGGACCAGTCCTCGATTTCAGCATGTGTCTGTGGGAAAATACATCTTGCTTGGTTGCCGTGAACCACCTCTCAACTGTTTCTAGCACTTACTGAGCAGGAAGTGGGAGTGCCCCATGGCTCACCACAGAGGGAGGGATGTGGACTCCACTTGGCCCCGCTCACCAGCTGCCTCTGCAGCCTCTGGGAGCTCGGCCAGGATGGATGGGGTACCCGCTCTGGGCTCCCTTAGCGCCTAAACCTTTATTTTTTGGTATTCTTAATATAGAATCGTGTCTCTTCTGCTCTTTCCTGGCAATTTGAGAGGCATTTTTTTTGTGCCTCCAACATTCATGTACTGTGATACACTGAGTGAGGGTATTCAGTCGTGTTTGCTGACGGAACAAGTGGGCGGACCTTGAATGAATTTTCTGGGCCAGCAAGTCATCCATTTCCAGGGCCCTTCGCCTTTCTGTGAGAACCATCCCTTCTCACAAACAGATGTGCCTCTCAGCGTGCAGAAGTTTCTGATGACACACACACATCCTTGAAAGGCTGAGACATGCTGGCTGTGGTGAAGGCAAATTGCAAAACAAAAACAAGGCTTCCAGCAGAGCTTCTAAAAGGGCATTATCAGCCGTGGTTAACGCTCACTTGTAGGTGGAGGGGGCAACCTGGGGGCTTGGGGGCAAGAACTCACATACAGCATGGCCGCCCCAGCCCTTTGATAGGACTTGGTAATTGTTCCTCTGCCGTCCCAAAGCAGGGGAAGGTGCCTCTCTGACCCAACCATGACAGCTACAGCACTTCCTGTCCTGCTCAGCTACCCACCCCAAAAGCTGGGGGTGAGCCAGGGATGCCCCTTCTGCCTCAAGAAGTGGCCCAGGTGTCTTAGTTTGAGTCCCTCAGAAGCGGACCCTGAGAGAAGACTCAAGAGCAGGTCATTTATTTGGGAGGAGGAAACACCAGTAATGAGTCAGGGGAGGAAGAGCAACTGGACTTAACCCCTCAGAGGACCCTCGTCTCAGGGACGCCATGCAGTGGAGAGCTGCCCCAGGAGATGTAATTCCCGGCACCAGGGCAGCAGAGCAGCCAGCAGGTCCAGATGCAGCCAGGACAGGAGGAAGTGGGATATGGGTGAGGTGCCACCTGCGCCTGCTACACAGGGTCTCTGCTCCCAGTGGCCAGTGGGGGATGCCAATGCCCATGAGACTGTCACTGGTCTGCAAAGTCAGGGTCACCCTCAAGGCACGAGACCTGAGATGTGTGCCAACCCTCCAACCTTTTGATAGCAGAACTTGTGGTTAATAGAATTCCTTGGTGGGGAGGCAGCCTAGCACAAATTCCGTTTAAGGTGCTGCTCACTTCATGGCTCTATCTAAACTAGGGCGACGTCTCTCCTTTCTACTTTCATTGCCATTTAAGACTTAGAGTGTGATCTGATGGCCACAAGCCACAACTGCCTCCCTCACGCCCTCACCCTGTGGCCTCGCCCCCACCCCATGTTAGCGGGGCTTGGTCAGTACGTGGGCCCCCACCCCATGTTAGCCGGGCTTGGTCAGTGCCTCGCCCCCACCCCATGTTAGCCGGACTTGGTCAGTACCTGGGCCCCCACCCCATGTTAGCCGGGCTTGGTCAGT